ACCCCTTCACTTCTGCAGTCTGCTCCTGCCCACAGCACCCCTCTGGCACAGCTCTCCACAATGTCACCAGCAGCGTCCACACATTCAGGGGACATTTTTCCTTACCCGCTCACTTACTTCCCTTTGCTGATTCCTACTCAAGCTGCTAATCTCAGTTCAATGACCCCCAAAGCCTTTATTGTCCTTCCTGTTCCGCTTGCCTTTGTAACAGTAGTCACTGCTACAATTTTACCAGTTTGTGTGATTAAGCCTCCCCAGGAGGAGTGAGCCTGTGCCTATCCACCTGGCAGCCTGAGGGCCTCCCAGGGTCAGTGCAGGGCACATAAACACTTAACAAACTGACATAGGTGCATAACCCTGCCCTGGCCTCTGTGCTAGGCATTAGGTAAAAAATGATGATCAAGTTGCAGAGTGCAGAGGGCACTGAGGGGTCAAGAAAGCAGAGGCAAAGGGGAAAGTAAAGGTCTGCTCCTGCCCTGCGCCCAGACAATTTAGCACTTTCTCAAGTACCCTACTTCCTCCCCAGCTGTCAGCTTTCTCTAGTCAGAAGTCAGCCCAAGGGAGGAAAATTTCCCTAACAGTTGCTACTTGACATATAACAGCTCTTTAATGAATGCCTTACAACCACCATATACCCACTGTTCCGCTGAGAGGTGACTAGGTGACTCATCCTTTAGCAGGGAGCTACAAGAAACCAAGGCCTGGAACTGTTAGGGTTTTTTTTTTCCTTTTTCTTTTTGGCAAAGTATGGCTGGCACTTCCCCCCTGCACAGGATCCCTGATAAGACCACTGAACAGCAAAAGGTCTTATGCTTCACTGTCTAAGCGTATCCAAAGAAGACTGTTTAATTTTACGTAAGTGTTTTTGCTGCTTGCTACTGATTTTTGTGGCCTCTCACTACTCTCATATTCACTTTATGACATGGAAGGATCTAATAAATGTGACAAATACTTAAGATCTGATAAACAGGGCCCTCCTTGGTGGCACAATGGGTTAAGCCCAGCACTATGAAGCTCTCAACAGCCACTGCAGCATGAGTTTGATTCCTGGCCAGGGAGGTGACCCACATGGCACAGCAGACTCTCTCCTGTCTGGGTCACTGCTCCCCTCAGCAGTGTGTTTCAGTAGAGCTACCTGTTCTTGCTCCCCACTCTGTCGCTGGTGAAATCTCCCAACTCCTGCACCTCTTGCCTGTACCCTAGTTCTTGTATACATAAATAAAATTTTAAAAAATAATAATAAAATTGGGCCCTCCCTGGTGGTGCAGTGGGTCAAAGCACAGCACTAAGAAGCTAAAGCCACTTCAATATGAGTTCAAGCCCTGCCTGCCCCGGAGGTGACCCACATGGCACAGCAGACTTCTCCTGACCCGCCCACTGCTCCCCTCAGCAGTGTACTTTGTCCATCTGCCTGTTCTGCTCCCCACTCTGTCTCTGGTGAGTCCTCTCACCGCCCCTGCACCTCTGGCCTATAACCCCAGTTCTGTATGCAGAAATAAATAAATCTTTAAGAAATAATAATAATAATAAAATCTAATAAACAGTATGGAGATATAACCACTAAACTCCAAACTGCAGGAAATTAAATAAATAGTCAACTTTTTTTTCAGCAGAACAACAGGGAGGGGAAGTTTAAAAGTGAGTAGAAGTAATTTGAGGAACATACTAACTAGACACACTTCTTTTTTAAAGATTTATTTATGCACAGAACTGGGGCACAGGCCAGAGGTCTGGGGGGTGGTGAGAGGCTTCACCAGAGACAGAGTGAGAAGCAGAACAGGCAGATCGAGGAGGTATACTGCTGAGGGGAGCAGCGGGCCAGACAGGAGAGGTCTGATGAGCCATGTGGGTCACCTTAGGGGCAGGGATCAAACTCATGCTGAAGTGGGTTTAGCTTCTTAGTGCTGTGCTTTAACCCCTAACCCACTGCACCACCAGGGAGGGCCCTAACTAGACACATTATATGGAATTTGTCTGAATCATTCAAAAGAAAATTATAGAATAATCCGAGAAATGTAAATAGGAAATTTGTTACAATTAAAGAAATAATTATATCTTTTTTGGCATGTGGGGATAATGTGGTTACATTGTAAAATGGTAGTACTAATCTTTTTGAAGTCTATATTGAAAAATTATAGATCAGCCCTCCCTGGTGGCACAACAGATTAAAGCGCAGCACTGCAAGTGAGCCAGCAGCTTCAGAGCCAGTTCTATTACAGCTCCAGCTAAGGAGGTGATCCACATGGCTGGCAGACCTCTCCTGACTCACCAACTGCTCCCCTCAGCATCGACCTCTGCTCCCCAATCAGTCTCCAGTGAATCCTCTCATCTCCCCTATGCCTCTGGCCTGCACCCCAGGTCTGTATACATAAATAAATAAATCTTTAAAAATGATGGATCAAAATTATGAACTAAGACAATGTCTGAGGTTTGCTGAAAATGATCAGGGTGAGGTTTTAGAACAATGATCATCAGTTGGTAATTATGGAAGCTGGGTGGTAGGTCTGGTAATATTCTTCTTTCCACCTACTTACATTCGAAAGTTTCAAAAAGGTGAAAAGTAAATCTAACTAGCAAAACCATAATACATCTAACTTTTGCTTAATAAAAACCTTCAAGTCTGCAACATCTCTAAATTCTTTCACTTTTCAAGAGATCTAAAAGACAGCAGCACTTTGATTCACAAGCCCTTGAAGGTATCTTTGAAAATAGGACTCAGAAGGCACTGGGCGGCTGGCCTTTGGCCCCACTTACACTCTAAAGCATCCTCTTTCTTTCCATCAGAACCAGCACTTACCTCTGTAGAGCTGGAATCCAATTAAGGACGCACACTGACAGGGCTGCCCTCAAATGTCAGAGAAAAAATGCAAATAAAGTCTGGTAGTGCCAAAGGTTTCACAGCCTTCTACTGCTTTCTGACTCAGTAATAGAATTTTACATCCAAGTACTGAGCATATACTGCAGCTTGCAGTTGTGCTGGGGACTTTAAAGAGCCATCAAGCCAATGCTTCCTCATGACCACATCACTGACCCCTGTCCATTCCTACCCAGCCTTTGAAAATGGCCCCAACAGACGGGAGGGTAGGGGAGAGTGACTGGGCTATTTCTGTCCTTTTCTGTGTCATTCTCATGAAAATTTGTCCTAGTCAATTTAAAATATTCAGAAACTTCCAAAATCAACCGGACGGACTGTCGGCCAAAACCTGTTGCTGGGCAGAAGTTGTTGTCTTGAAAGTTGAATGACATTCAATTCTGCTTCTGCTAATGACAACACTAACAACCACTACTGATTCACTATGGCTAGTGGTTAATACAATGTTGCCTAGCCCCAGCTCAAGCTCAAGCACAAATAAACCCTGCTTGGCTGGCTACAAATTTCTTAAATTGAGTGGCTATCGATAGGTTCAACAGCTAGAAAACTTAAGGACGGACATTTACTTCCTGACAAAATAAGCCTTCACTGCACATTCCTTGTTTAAATCAACACCTCATAAAATAAACGGCTACCGCTGTCTTCTGTGTGACTTAGACAAGAAGTTAGACATTCACCAACTTCAGAAATAAACCTTTGTGAAATCCACCTTCAAAAAAAAAAAAACACAACAAAACCCAAAATCCTCATCTATCGTGCCCATGAGCAAAGCAAATAAATGAAAACCATGGATATATACTATAAGCTTAAGCGCAGTAATTTTCCAGCACCCCGCATTCCAAAGCACCCCATTTCATCCGATAGACGGTCTCTCTCACCCCTCCCCTCTTTCCCACCGGGTTTATGCCCGTGCTCATTTTCAGTGGAGAAACACCGGAATTTATGTGCTTTGTTTTGTTTTAAATGGGAACGAAAAGGAGAAGAGTGGGGCGTAACAAAATGGAGCAGGGACGTGTCTTTTTCCGCCCATCTTCCTCTTCCTCCACTGCAGGTATATCAGTGACATTTCAAGTGACAGCTTCTCGGGCGGTTAAATGCCCCCAATTAAAAACGGTGGAGACCCGGGATGCGAGTGGAGATAAAGGTGAAACTGAAGACTGGAAGGGAGTGGCGGGTGAGAGAGGCCCGACGCCCCGCAGGGCTGCACGGCGCCCGCGAGGTGGCCGCGCGCCCGCAGCCCGCCGCGGACCGGCTCCTGCCCAGCCTGCTGCCCAAGGGTTTTTGCTAGCGACGGTGCGGTCTCTGCTGCCCACTCACACCTCGCCTGGTTGCGATTTTAAACCAGGCTCATTCACTTCCGGTGACAAATCCCTCCCACCACCTCTAGAAATCATGTAACATTCTCCCCAGTCGCCTTCCTAACGACCGACGGCCCCCAGAGAGCGGCAGCGCCCGCGGCTGGGGTCTCGCCCCGGCGCGGCCAGCGGTGCCCAGCGGTGCAGGGAATGACCGCGGAGCTGGGGAGGGCGTGGGAGGAAGAGGAAGGGGGTGTGGAATCTCACCCTCCCCCGCCCCCACCCTCTCGACTCGACTGCAGCATTAGGCCCAAAAAACAGTAAGCCGTTTTTAGACACCCCAAGGCCCCCCACCCGCGAACGCGGTTGCAGTTAGGAACCCAGACTCTCCTATCTAGGTGCCTCTCGCCTTCTCCCGCCCGCGCCACTGCCAGTGGGGACTCAGGAACCCCCACGCCACACCGAACTGCAACGGATGAGGGGGAGGGAGTGGGTGGGATGAAGGTTTTGGGGTGGCAGGAACGGGTGGAGGAAGGGGTGGTGGAAGGAAAAGGAAAAAACCAGAGGCATGCAAGCTGTTCCCTAGCCAGCTGTTCCAGCTGCCGCTTCCTCCGGCGCGGGCCGGGCGGTGCAATATTCACCCCCCCCCTCCATCTTTCTCACCACTACCTGTCCCCCCCACCCGCAACACGCACACATTCCCCCCCAGTAGCGGATCTCCGGCCTGTAAGGGGGTAGTAGGGAGGAGCTGGGGGGGAGGGGGAGGCCTGCGAGTTTCTAACCTTGTTCTTATAAACAAACCCACATGTGCAGCTGCCGCTGCTGCAACTCACCCCACAATCCCGGATATAAGTCCTGCCCCTTTAAGAAGAAAAAAGCTTCCCCCGCCTGCCTCCCACCCCACCCATCCACTAGGACCTTTGTCTCCCCACCCCCTCTGTCAGACGGCCCCGCCTAATCTCCCCGCCCCCTGCGATACGGAGGAACCAATGGGCTAAGAAAATCAGGCCAGGAGTCTGACGTCATCACGACCAGCCAATAACCGAGCACGTTGGTGGGAGGCCTCACGGAGGGCGCGCCCGGAGGAAGGAAGACTGGAGAAAGGAAGCTTGAAGTCAAGATGGACCCTTCCAGTTGCTCCGCGGCCGCCGTGGGGAACGGGGACTTGGGGTCCCAGCGGGACCGGAGCTTGGTGCCTGAGCGGCTTCAGAGGCGAGAACAAGAGCGGCAACTGGAGGTGGGAAGGCGAAAGCAAAAGCGGCAGGACCAGGAGGTGGAGGAGGAAAAGAGCGACTATTTCGCCGCCGCCTTCTCTCGGGAGCGAGCGGCGGTGGAAGAGGTTCTGGAGCGCGGGGAGTCCGTCGAGTGCCTGGAGGAGGCGGCCTCCCGGCTCCAGGGCCTTCAGAAACTTCTCAACGACTCGGTTTTGTTTCTGGCGGCCTACGACCTGAGGCAGGCACAGGAGGCGCTGGCGCGCCTGCAGGCGGCCTTGGCCGAGCGGCGCCAGGCACTGCAGCCCAAGAAGCGTTTCGCTTTCAAGACCCGGAGAAAGGATGCTGCTTCGGCCACCAAGGTAGACGCGGCTCCTGGCGCTCCGGCGGCGGAAAGTATCCCGGCCTCCCCGCCGTCCTCGAAGGAGGAGGGAGACTCGGACTCCACTTGGGTCTGCGGCTTTTCCAATCTGGAATCCCAAGTCTTGGAGAAGAAAGCTGAGGAATTGCGCCAACGCGATATCCTTTTGACCGAACTGAGCAACTGCAAGATCAAACTGTATGGCAACCCCAACACCCTGCGGCTACACAAGGCCCGCGGCTGCACGGTCCTCTGTGGGCCAGTGTCCACCTCTGTCTTCCTGGAAGACTGCCGTGATTGCGTGCTGGCCGTGGCCTGCCAACAGCTCCGCGTGCATACTACAAGAAACACCCGCGTCTTCTTGCAGGTGACTAGCAGGGCCATTGTAGAGGACTGCAGCGGGATCCAGTTCGCCCCTTACACCTGGAGCTACTCGGGGATTGACGAGGACTTCGAAGGTTCCGGTTTAGACAGGAGCAAAAATAACTGGAACGATGTTGACGACTTCAACTGGCTGGTCCGGAATGTGGCCTCCCCAAACTGGAGTGTTCTTCCTGAAGAAGAGCGAATGGTCCAGTGGGACTAAGCAGTTGCCACTCTGTTCTTCACTCTTACCAAATGCTTCCCATGTGGGAATAAGTCCACCGAACAAGATGTCCATGTTTACTTGCTGTTATTGCACTATCTAGGCTTTCAGTGTTTAAGATTTGACATTGTGATAGGCTCTTAGCCATGACAGGTCTGTAAAGCATGATGGCAGTCATGCTTTTGGAGATATCTCGCAGGGGTTACTTTGTTAGCTCTGTTAAAAACACAGGTCCCCAAATAGAGTCACTTATGCAGGTCACCAAACTGAGACTTAACACTTTTCATTTTTCCCAGAATTGGAGTCTTAGAGGATTCATCTCTCTGCCCAGCATGAGGGAGGTCATCTACTTTAGACCCTTACGGGCCCCTAAAGGAGAGTAACTTTGCCACAGTCACTCCACTCTTAGTTAATGTAATTTCCTTGTGCTTATTCCCTCCTGCCTATAAAAGTCCTTCGTTTTGTACAGCTCCGGGAGAGCTCCTACCTGATAGATGGATGCTGCTCAATTTGGTGAATCATTCAGTAAAGCCAGTGAGATCTTTGAAATTTACTCAGTTGAATTTTAACAGTTGGAAGCAATAAGGGGGAAACGTGTGTTTTTAATGCCTATATTATTTAAAACATTGCATGAGAAACTAGGCTTTCCAGAAATACTGAATAAATTAAGTAGGGCACTAGAAGGAGAAGTTAATTTGAAAGTGTGCAGATGACTGGCAACTGGGGAATTCTTTCGATTGAAGGTTTGACTTCTACACGCATTTCTCAGCAGGGTGCTGGGAAGACTCTTCTTTGGTCTTCAAATACACACTAGCTTCAGCTGGATTCCAGCTTTTCATTTACTTGTTTGGATACAAAATTTAGACATGGTCACAGGACCCATACGACACTTAACTGTAGAGGCCAAATAATTATAGCTACCGACTTTGTGCACCTAAAATGTCAACCATCATCCTAAGCACCTTATTCATATAAACTTAGTACATCCTCAGCATCTTAAGAGGTTAGCACCATTTTTCAAGTGAAGACACAATAAGTGCCCAAGGTCAAATAGCTCAAGTGGTGAACTGGGATATGAAACAGGCAGTCGGACTCCAGAGCTGTGCCTTCTTTACCACTACATGATGGTGATTTTGAATAGTTGAACTTCCAGAATCCCTAAAGAGGGTGGATTGCATTCCTTAAATTCACCTACCAAAAAGAACAAAGCTGCGTCTGCAGGGTTTTTTGTACTCCTTTTACTATAATTCTCTGCTGTTACAAATTTGGCTTTCTGCTATATATTCCACCATCCATTATTCTTAAAAGGGAAGTTGTAAGGTTTTCAAAAAGCTTTCTGTGGGTCTGGTGGCATTATAACTACAGACATGCTTGTTAATAATGACCACAGCATTAAGGTGTTTGAAGTACTTTAATTATTTATCCCAGAAAAGGAATTAAGGATGCATCTAATGATAGGAATTGTGAAATGTAACAAGATAAGGATAAATGAGAAGGAAGAATAAAATTAGAATCAAATTGGATACAGAAATGAGGCCAATGAGAAGATGTAGCCAGCAAAGGGGAGGAGGGTACCCAATGGACTATGGTGGAATTTAGTGGAGAGTTATTGCTGCTTTGGTGGTGAGCATGTGTGGTAACATACATTTGAAGAGATGTGAACATATACCCTGAAACCTACAGTGTTATAAGTCAACATTACCACAATAAAAATAACTGAAAAAAAAAGTGACCTGTCAAACTTACTCCTTAGCCAAAGGTGAATGCAAAATTTTTTTTTCTCTCAACTATTAGCTGACGTGAAAAAGGATCCTAATCTGTTTCACAATTTGTAACATCCAGAAAGAAGAAGGGAGAAGATTAATTGCTGAAAAGAAAGAATCCCAGTTATAAAAGGAGACATGTAATGAAATTCTCAACTATATTGTCACAAAAGTAACTATAACCAGTGTCCTCTAAACACTGATAGTGTAAATGCACACCAGCAAAGTCCAGGCTTGGGGCATTAGTGATCTGTAATTCATTTGTGGATTAATCATTTCTATGGGAAAATTAAATTACATTTAAAAGATAAAATTGCTGAAATTTATAATACATGATAAACCACAAAATCATGGCATTTGGAACTGGGGTTAATGCTTGCTAATTGCTGATCTTTCCTTACTGCCCAGCAAGCCTGTTCTGCCTTGATAGCTTATGCCAATTATCCCAGACCTTTCCCTTACTTTCCTGAAAGTCCCAATTTTGCACTTGTAAGTCTGTCAGTCTCACCTATCAAATAAGTTTTAGGCCACTCAACCAGCACCCTATTATCAGTCCTGAGTATTTGAAACAATTCCCACCTTCACTGGTCGTCTTGAGTCCTAACTCCTCTCTAAGCTACCTTTTCCATCAGTTCCCACTCCCTCCCTCTCCGGTGGATTTCACTCCCTTTCCATTGGCCTTTCTCTTCCTCTTTCAAGTCTCAGAGCATCCCCGCATTCTCTACCCTGCCTGTCACTGCATGATGTTCCAATTCCTCCCCTGTACTGGCAGTCATCTTAAGAGAGCACCATACTTTATAATTTTACCCCGCTTTTTCCTGCTGAAAATGCTTTTTGATGGTATCAATTACCTCGATGCTTAGTTCTACCCTCCTCCCCTTCTCATCCTTTCTCTTCTATGTGTGCAGTTTATTACATTATCCTTAAGTTCTTCCTTTCCTTGACCACTACAGCCTTGCTCTCCTATTTCTTTTATGACAGCTTATTTCCTTTCATAGGGTTTCTGATGGCTTACATCCTTAAGTGTGAGTGCTGGCCAAGGTTTTGAGCCTCTTTCTATTCATTCTTTCCAGAGCTTCAACTCTGACCTATGTCCATAACTCCTACCCCCAGCTCCCACCCTTAGTCGGCTCACCTGCCTTCCACATCCTACATGTTCTTAAAGTCTCCATTTCACTGCTTTCCCTCCATATTTCCTTTAATGTTATCTCCTTTCTTCAGGCACCAAGTGCCTACCAAGGACAAGTAGGTAAAATCAATGAATGAGGCGGCTGTGAGTAAGTCAATAAGGAGAGGGGGCCAGGCCACTTGGCAGAGAAATTCAGAACTTTTAAAATGTGCAAGCCCAGTCCAAATGCTGCAGACTACATCTGCTCCCTGAGCTGGCCAATTTGTGTCATCAGACTTCCAAATCATGTCAGTCTACCTTCAGCATCTAACCCTTCCATTCTGTCCTCTCAAGTATTTCTGCCATCTCAGAAAGTTATACCTTACTGTATTTTTCTTAAATTCATTGATTGAGTTTTGCTATCAAAACAACCACCTCCCCACCTATATGAAAGTCATACCCCTGAAATCAAAGCATTGATTTAAACAACTTCAGTAGGTTTTTGAAATGCAAATCTTAATGTTTCATTACAGTAAGGGCAAATTACACCAATAAGTATAATGACCATACAACTCCATTAAGGTCAGCTCTGAACAAGCAATACAAATGCACATTAGTCAAGCAATCAGAGTCTATTCAATGTTATGGTTATTTATATTAAATATAATTTGGTACTGTATTACATGAGCATTTTATAGAGTCATGTCAGAGTCTCAACCTTTCCACCATAAGAGAAATAATTCTAAGTTTTAATTCTGATGTTCTGTTTGCAATCTAAGAGTCACAACTGAATACCATTTTAGTTTTAATTTTCTTAGGTAGAAATGAACAAAACAGCAAGATGTGAAATTCAAGTTTCTATGCCTAATGTTATACAGTGATGTACAATGTACATGGTACAGGTACCATGTTTTACAACAATGGCAATTAGTGATACAAAAGTAAGACAACTAACTTGCATGTAATTCAAAGCCCTACCAACAACTCAAAAGTCAGTCACAGTATTTGATGATTCTCTTATAAGCCATAAATAAAAGACTTGATTCTATGAAGATAGTGCAATGGATTTTTTTTTTTTGCATGAGTACAGGTTATTAAAAAGGGGCACTGATTGGCACCCCCAACAGCACCTCCACAATCCTCACTTGCCCCCATGTCATTCTAGTAAGTACATGATACCAAGAAAAACTCAGTAAATCTAATTCTCAACCTTAATTGTACATTGGAACCATTAATAAAAAAAAATCACTCTTACCAAGACACTCAAAATGAAATCCCTGGATTCAGTGCCTGGACACTAGTATTTAAACAAGCTTTTTTGGGGGGGGTCTCCCCAGTGTTGCATCTATCCACATGTTCTGCTCCCCACTCTGTCTCTGGTGAATCCTCTCACCTCCCCTCCCCCCCCTCCTATACCCTAGTTCTTATATGCATAAGTAAATAAATCTTAAAAAAATAAAAAACAAACAAGCTCTTGGGAGTGATTCTTTTGCAGAACAAGTGTTTTGAGACCAGCAACAAGCTAGACCAATCTAAACCATAACAACCCATCTTTTCAGGATGTTAAAACAGGATTCCAGTTAGTCTGAAAACAGAAAGGCCAAGTAGTGCCAAAGGCCCAAAGAGAACAAGAAATATGAAGAAGAGCAGAAGAAAAGATAGGTCCTTTCCCAAAAGCTTTCATCACTCTTGAAAGTTCTTATCCATTAAACACATGCTGGTAGCAAGGATTACTACCAAACTCCACTCATCTGGCCCAGAGACTCATGTGGTGTTAGTAAAAATTTGCCCTTGTCTAGCACAATTTTTTTTTTAATTAAAAACATTATTTATTTATTTATACAAGAACTAGAGTGCAGGGGTTGAGAGGATTCACCAAAGTCAGAGTGGAGAGCAGAACAGGTGATTGACTGAAATACACTGCTGAGGGGAGCAGCAGGAATGACAGAGAGGTCTGCCGTGCCAAGTGGGCCAATTCCCTGGTCAGAGATCGAACTCATGCTGCAGTGGCTGCGGACAATTTCATAGTGCTGTGCTTTAACCCAATGTGCCACCAGGGAGGCCCTGCCATTGACATGATCTGTGGAGATCTTCCCGTGTAAGTATATACAGAGCCGCCTCGTTTCTAACTGCCCAGAGCACTGTTATAGAGAAGGTGCCATTCTAAGCTAGCGAGTCTCTAATTTGTGGACATTTATATTGTTTCCAATCTTTAACCATTAGAAAAATGCTAAGTAAAAATCCTTATATATAAATTATTTAGTATGTGTGCAATATTATCTGTAGGCTAAGTACCTGGAAGTGGAATTGCTGAGTCATAGACTATGAAAATGTACAGTATTGATATATATTATCAAACTACCATTCAAGGAGATTTATCAATTTGCACATTCACCAGCAATATCTTAGGGTGCAGAAACCTCCACATCCTCATGACATAATGCACTATTAAAATTTTGGATCTTTGCCTATTTGAGAGTTACAAAATGGGATTCTCCTATAATGGTAACTGTAACCATCTTCTGACTTCTATGCTCATCTCCAGCTTCTAAATCACTCTTGATGCAGGTACCAAATTGGTTTTCTTAAATCCTCCCACTCCTGGTCGAAAGCTCTCTTGAGTTTTCCACTGGCTTCTCAACTCCCTGGCCTGACAAGCCTCTCCACCACCTGCTCCCAGCCTACTGTTCCTACATGATGTTCTACGCTTTTAGCACACTCACTTCATGCTCCAACTGGCCTGAACAAATATCCATTAATCAAATAAACTGTATCCGTCAGAGACTTGGCAGGGAACAGATGGCACACTCAAAATGGATAGTTTTAGGAGAACTTAGTACAGGGGTATTTACAAAGCTGAGGGTAGAGTTTAGAAAAAGCAATTAAAGATGGTGTGATGTCTATTATCACTTCTAGGACTAAAGGGATAAAGCTGTTATCTGAACCCAGGGAAAGAGATCAGTACTTGACAGAATTGTGACCTTTGAGAGAAGGACGTAGCCAATCCATGGTGACAGGGAAACCCACAGGAATTAACAATGCCACTGTCTTCTGCTGCTGCCTTTCATTGATTGAATCCAGTTAGAAATTTTAGCACAAGAAAGTCTGTTGGTTGGGCCTCCCTGGAGGCACAAGGGATTGAGTCTCAATCCCGTGAAGCTATCACCAGTGTCTGCAGCATGATGAGTTTGGTCCCCTGCCAGGGAGGTGACTCACATGGCTCAGCAGACCTCTCTCCGGTCTCACCCACTGCTCCTCTGAGCAGTGTACCTATTCTGCTCAGTCTACCTATTCTGCTCTCCACTCTCTCTCTGGTGAGTCCTTTCACCCCACCACCAACTTCTGGTCTATTCCCCAGCTCTTGTATGCATAAAGAAATAAAATAAAAAATTTTAAAAGTGTCATCTTTGGCCCTCCCTGGTGGCGCAGCGGGTAAAAGCACAGCACTGAGAAGCTAAAGCCATTTCTGCATGAGTTCGATTCCCGCCTGCCCGGGAGGAGACCACATGGCGTGGCAGACCTCTCCTGACCCACCCGCTGCTCCCCTCAGCAGTGTACTTCGTCGATCTGCCTGTTCTGCTCCCCACTCTGTCTCTGGTGAAGCCTCTCACCGCCCCTGTACCTCTGGCCTGTACCCCAGTTCTGTATGCATAAATAAATAAATCTTTTAAAAAAAAGTGTCATCTTTATTAAAAGAAAAAAAGCCTATTGGTTCAGCCTTTGTGGGGCATCTTCCAGGGTATCAGATAAGGGAGAAAAATAAAGAATGATTTGCAAGCAGCAAGGGGAAGATATTAATTTTTTTTCTTTTTAAAGATTTATTTATGCATACAGAACTGGGGCCAGAGGTGCAGGAGGTGAGAGGATTTACCAGAGACAGAGTGGGGAGCAGAACAGGCAGATCGACGAAATACACTGCTGAGGGGAGCAGCATGTGGGTAAGGAGAGGTCTGCCACGCCATGTGGGTCACCTCTCTAGCCAGGGATCAAACTCATGCTGCAGTGGATGCAATAGCATCATGGTGCTGTGCTTTTAACCTGTTGCACTACCAGGGAGGGCCCAAGGGGAAGATATTCTGTACAAACACCTTCTGCCTTATTTCCTGGCCTTTCATCTAGTTCCCACACAGCTTGAGTACAGCTCTGTAGGACATTTTGAACAAGCTGTCACTACTTCCAAGAAGTCTTCTGGGATTTCCCTCAGTCTCTGAAAATGAAGCATGATATATTGAAGGAATAGAGCAAGAAAGAAGTGTAAATGAGCTAGTCTTTGAGGTCAAGTTGTTCCATTCTCCATGAGGCACAATTCTGAGGAAGAGAAAAAAAGATTTGAATACAGTGAAAAACGTAGGCCAAATTCAGTCAATATTCATGTGATGGCAAAGCTTCAGAATGCATGTTAAAGTGATTACACAGAGACTCCATTGTATAAGCCTCTGAGTCAAGCAATGATTTCAGCCACGTCACTGTCTCTTTTGAAAATTTAAGAAAGGACATGAGCCATCAAAGGAAAAGCTTCTCAGAAAAAACAAAGGGTGACTGTCAAAGGAAAAGAACAGAGGATGCTTCCAGTCCTGATATGAAAGTATGAAGACTTACATAAAAGTTAGCTGTCCTCTTGGAGAAGAACCCATGTGGGTCAGCTCCCTGGCTGGGGATCAAGCTCATGCTGCAGCAGCTGCCACTAGCTTTATAGTGCTGAGAATTAACCTCTTGCACCACCAGGCAGGTCCTAAGAGGTTTATTTCTATTTTCCTCTTACACTGAAAAGATGTTCACTGGAAGTCTCAGGCTTTGCTTTGTCTTCTGTCCCCCTTGTTACTCAACCCCAGGACTGTTAAAGTTCAAAAATTTCAAATCATCAGCACATACTTAGAAAGCTGCTCAGTCTCATCAGCACACACCAGAAGTGTAGCTAACATACAGAAGGGGAAACATACCAGCTAGAGACTCCCTGGTGGCATAGCAGTTAAGTTTCAGAAGTATTACTCCTGTAGCCTGAGTTCGATCCCCTGCCAGGGAGCTGACCCACATGGTGCTGCAGACCTCTCCTGTCCTGCCTGCTGCTGTGCTGAGCAGTGTGTTTCTGTGTGTTCTGCTCCCCACTCTGTCTGTTGAGTCCTTTAACCCCCCCACTTCCTGTCCCTGCCCATCCCCCACCTTTGGCCTGCCTCTCAGTTCTATACACACCAGAACTAACTCATCTCTCTAGATTGACTTTGACCTCTAAATGTTACTTACCTGCTTTCCAAGTTCATGATGTCTTTAAAACAGTTGTTCCTTTTTAATGAAAAAAAAAGTATGTGTATTAATATATCTTTAAAAGCATTTGTTTGTTTTCAACGAGGAGCCATGTAAAATATTCTTTTCTCCTGCTGCTCTCCACTTTTCAGTGCTGTAACTTGTTTCCTTTCCTTTCCTCTCCCCAGAGGCATAAGGAGGAAAAAAAATGTTCTAGACTGAAGTCTATGTGGCTTCCATCTTTTCAAAACTAAAGATCTTTTTTTTATATAAGTTTATTTTTACATCATTTTGTACATTTTTTTTCATCTCAATTGTAATCACCAAGTCACCCATGTGCCATCACCATAATCCCGGGCACTTCCT